CTATTTTTCAAAACAACTTGGGTAACAGCTATTCGTCGCCCCGCTGTTGATCCTCAGTCAGGCCCCTAAGCCTATTTGCATAATACAGACTTCATTACAATTATATCGCTCTCTTGCACAAAAATGATAATCAAAACCACGAAACTTAATTCTTTGCTGGCTAATCTACACCTCTCAGCCACATAAGTATAATAAAATACATCAAACTGTTTCCCGACGTGCTAGCAATTTAGTTGATGAACGACTGCGCTACAATACAGTACATTGCTACAATGGTACGTGGAAAAAATCAGTATTAGCAAATCCGCGAATATTTTATACTATTCTAAATATTTACATAAGTATATTTAATACAAATAGAGACACACAAACATGTCGCTCATTTACTTCAATGGTGTCATAACTCAACAAAGTGAAACTTGAGAAAAACCGCTTTAAAGTTTTTAATTTACATATACATATGTACATACTCCCATAGTAAAAAGCATGATACAAATATTTAAAGGTAAAACCGCTCACTCAATTCGTCGGCCATAATGGGCCGGGCCGTATGTATAAAAATAAGCAATTGCTTTTTCTTAATATTTCAGACCAAGGCACATTAAACAGGTAGTATCAGTAGAGCAAAAACAACATTTGCGTGTATTTTGTTGTTGCTTCTGGTATCGAAAGTGTCAACAACTGTTCTGAATTTTTTCTTCTAAATCAAAGCGTGCCATGTGAAATACAAAAAATTATAAAAAATAAAAAATTGAGATTGGAAAAAATAAAAATTGATGCAACTTTCTTTCCTAGTAAATTTGTTTGCTTCTCGAAGCATTGATCCATCCTTTGCAAGGCCCAGTAATCAGCGGTCGTGCTGCCGAGTTGGGCGAACGTTCCAAAAGCTGCTATTCAATCGCTTGTTTTGTATGGAAAAAGGTTTCACAAGCAAATGGATTTTAACAACTTATAATTTTCGTGAGAAAAAATTAAAAATATTTGACATTTTCGAGACCAAATAATTTGAAAATAAATCAAATCAGCTGCTCTACTGATACTACCTGTTCAATGTACCTTGTTTCAGACCTTTTACTCGATTTATTCAAACAATAGTGAAGTAACAGGTATGAAATTTTAAGAAAAAGCAATTGCTCAGTTTTTATTCATACGGCCCAATATATTTTTTGAAGTTTGTCTACTTTATAAAATTGAAATTTTCAGAGCAACTCAAATTCCAAACAAAAGCCTTTCAGCGGTTTTACCTTCAAATTTTTGTATCATGGTAAAAAGGAATAGGTCTTTTCTTCTAGTGAGATACTCGTAATTGATACAACAATGTGTAAAAACACACCATAGAAGACGAAGTTTCTGCATACTTAGCCCAATATTTGTATTTTTTGGATTATGACACTATTGCACTAAATGAGCGACATATATAGTATGCAGCATTAGCATAATTCATACGATTCTATTTTACAGGCATCGGGAGCTTTTCGCACAGAGTCAGACACATTTGGTGAACTAAAAGTGCCCGCTGACAAGTATTATGGCGCTCAAACAATGCGGTCCAAATTAAATTTTCCCATTGGTGGATCATCCGAGCGTATGCCGGTAGGTTTATTTATATTTATTTACAGCATTTGAACTAATTTTTTTTCCTTACAATCTTTTCAGCAACCGGTTATTCAAGCCATGGGAATTTTAAAAAAAGCTGCCGCCGAGGTAAACAAGGAGTTCGGGCTGGATCCCAAGGTCAGTGATGCCATTTCAAAAGCTGCCGATGACGTTATATCAGGAAAATTGTATGAAGATCACTTTCCCTTGGTTATTTGGCAGACCGGTTCAGGCACACAAACCAACATGAATGTGAATGAGGTAAGCAATATGTGAAAATAAGCACTGAAGTCGGTTTTTGATTAATTATGTTCATTATTTCTTTTGGTGCACTAACGCTTATCAAAATTGTTTGTATTGTACCTGCTATTTAGGTGATTAGCAATCGCGCTATTGAGCTATTGGGTGGTGAATTAGGCTCAAAAACACCAGTTCACCCCAACGATCATGTGAACAAGTCGCAGAGTTCGAATGACACCTTTCCCACTGCCATTCATATTTCCGTCGCCCTGGAACTGAATAATAATCTGAAACCCGCCATTAAGATCTTGCATGATGCGCTTAAAGCCAAATCTGCGGAATTCAAGGACATCATCAAGATTGGCCGTACACACACCATGGATGCAGTCCCGTTAACATTGGGCCAAGAGTTCAGTGCCTACGCTCAGCAAACGGCGTATGCGCTCGATCGCATCGACGCTGTTTTGCCACGCGTATACGAGTTGGCATTGGGCGGCACTGCTGTCGGTACTGGCCTGAACACGCGCATTGGATTTGCGGAGAAGTGTGCGGCGCGTATTGCAGAACTTACTAAGTTGCCTTTCGTATCAGCGCCTAACAAGTTCGAAGCGTTAGCAGCACGCGACGCCATGGTGGAGGTGCATGGTGTTTTAAATACGATCGCTGTTAGTCTAATGAAGATTGGCAACGATATTCGTTTCCTTGGCTCCGGGCCACGTTGCGGATTGGGCGAATTAATGCTGCCCGAAAACGAGCCGGGCAGCTCGATTATGCCAGGCAAAGTAAATCCAACACAATGTGAATCACTTACAATGTTGGCTGCGCAAGTGATGGGCAATCACGTGGCAGTCACCATAGGCGGTTCCAATGGACATTTCGAGTTGAACGTTTTCAAACCATTGATCGTATCGAATGTTTTGCGTTCCATTCGCTTGCTCTGTAAGTTAAACCTAGATATTTGTTTAAAGATAAAAAATCTACATTTTATCTTTTCATTCAAATTAAAGCTGACGGCTCCCGCACATTTACGTCCAATTGCGTCAATGGCATACAGGCGAATCGCGAACGCATTGGAAAAATCATGGCTGAATCATTGATGTTGGTCACTGCATTGAATCCACATATCGGCTACGACAAAGCTGCCAAAATTGCCAAGACTGCCCACAAGAATGGAACCACTTTGAAAGAAGAGGCCATCAACCTAGGCTACCTGACCGCCGAACAATTTGAGCAATGGGTCAAGCCAGCAGAGATGTTAGGTCCGAAATAAAAATTTGACATGTTAAATTAAAGTTTGGTATTAAATAACATAAATTAAAAACGATCTGTGCTGTGAGAAAGAGGAAATATATCAAAATTAAAATTTTGTGAGAAAACGCAATCAAAGTTTGATCAATTCACATACATATGTATGTACATCTAGACCTTGGTTTTTTAATTTAAATAAAATACTCAAACGAGAACTGCACTTCCGAATCTATACTATTACAACCATGATAAAAACATATATGATATTTTTATCATGATTACAACAATCACTGATATTTACTCCTTAAAAATAATTTCATTCAAATGTTGGCCGCAGGCGGAACATAACCGTAAATAACGAGCGGTACCGAACCATGATAACTGTTATTGTTGTGGTTGTTGTTGTAGCGGCACTACTAAGCCCCGCCTATTTATTGCATGAAATTGAAACAAGTGATGTTGGCAACATTAGGCATCAGCAAGTTATAGTGTGATATCACAACACTGGAAGTCAGAAGCCTTCGTCGAAAAGCCAACTATGATTCAAAACTTAGAAGCTAACATTATTCGCGCAATGCTGGAAAGAGTATTGAAAATGGACAACTTATAGCGTAGTCGCGGCCAAGATTTGAATGATTTTTTTTTTTTAAGTAAACGTCAGAGATTCTTCTTTCGGCTTTTAATAAAAGTTGCGTTCCAGATGCTTCACGATTTGCAGGTTTTACAGGATTTGCAGGAAAAGATGTTTTCTCTATTAATAAATCTTATGGAAGGTGGTCACCTGGAACGGCTTCCTATAAAAACCTGCAAATCGTGAAGCATCTGGAACGCAACTAAAGATTGCGATATCCAGTTAAATTTTAAGTAATTTATTTCAAATTAAGGAGTTTAGTTCCACTGAACATACAGTGATCCAAATATAAATTGGGACGCGACTTTTAACACGTTTTGGCTATTTATCTTTAGCTTATGTAAAAAATATGAAAATTCTGCAAAATTTCACCAAAACACCGTCAACAAAAAATATTGCAAAAAATCAACGGATGGGTCGATTATGGATGGCAACGCAACCTCAGTTGTCCTGTCCATAAAAATCTAAAATTTAAACTGTGTACATATGCATGCGATTTTAGGGAGATTATTTTATTTTGGCAGAACTCACGAAGAGTATAGGCGGGGTTGAGAAAAGATCGAACCCTGTACATAAAGGGCCTGTGCGATGCACATAATAAAAGCGGTATTACTGCTGTACTGATGAAAAATTGCAACTGCCCAACTGACAATACGTTGCTAGAATAATTCGTGCAACACTGCGGCTGTGATTGCAACTCGAAAAGCCCAAAACCTCTATTATAAGGCTCAGGAATGCTGTTAAAAAATCCAAAAGAGTTCAACGAAATTGGCATGCGTTCTTTTTGTCGTTTATCAACCTCTTTATTTTTTAAATTCAATTCACATTTATTATTATTAATATGTTTTCACTAAATCTACATAGTATCCATATTATTATTTATGTATATAACGTTGTATATTTGAAGTCAATCCGTGATCTTTTGATTTTTTGCTTGGCTTTTTAGTGATGTTTACCGCATGTGTGCGAAGAGTTAAACCCGATCGGTCCTCTTTCAAATTATAAAAAAGTGTCAAGTAACAAAACAAAATATAAATTCACAAACTAAATTAAAAAGTTTTTAAACTGCACTTTAGCTAATGATATTTCATTAAAACATATGTAAAACTTATAAAAAATAGTACTGTTTAAGAGTAATTCAGCAAAACTTAATATGGGCACCCCACGACAGTCGGGTCTACGTAACCGGAACGACCCAGATTTATATCTGGCCAAGGACTGTCACTCCAGCTACACTACCCAAAATCTCTTTGGGGAATTTGTATGCTGTTACAACAACAACATGGGCACAACTTGCGTCAAAGCAATTATAAAAAATTGCTTAAAAACTTAACAATGGAAGACCCGTTTCTATTGCAATTTCATGTTGTGGAAGTAGCTTGGCGTTGATCTGTTTGATTCCTACAAACTTTACTATGTCCATCCTTCCAGTGACGTGATTGGCAAACTTGCGAACAATATGCAGCACGAAAACAACACAAGTATATCGCTTCATTGAGACACCAATAACACTGGAAAGAGTTAAAACCATAACTAAGTACATATGTATCGTATATTTGTTTATATTGTGTTTTTATACCCATTGCTTTCGCTTAAGAATTTTCTTTTCATGTTCGTGTTTCTTTATCGATTCCTTAAGTTTTTCTATGTTTGCAAGCAACTTTTCATTCTTCCTCTGTGTTGCTGAAACCAACTTTAAGGCCTCATCAAGTTGATCTTGTACCTGGAATTTGTCGACTGATATATAAACATTTTTAGATTGCTATTTCGTTTACCTGTTTAAGATCTGCAGCACTCACTAATGTATTGGCGGAACGTGTTAATCGTTTCGGTGCCTTCTTTAGATTGCCATGAGCTCTAAAAATATTTAAACCACACGATATGTATATCAAATAATATGGGTATTCATGGAAACGCATAAATGCCTCCTAACTGCGTACACTTCGAAAATTTACGAGGTTTACATGGTTACTAGTCATTTATGCGTATACATGAATTGCCATTATATAACTAGGAAATCGAGAAAAGCATATGAAAACCTTTTTTCCCTTAATCTAGTCTCTGTATCGTTAAGAAATCCGCTATCACTTAGTATCGGAGGATCCGCCCCGGGCAACGATATGACATCGCCTGAGATATCCAAAAAAGCGTCCATTCTGACTGTTGACATTGTATTACAAATTGTTTGACGACGTGTCGGAAGCTTTCTTCCCTTAGATGAGTTTACCATGAATTGATCTGCTGTTCTCTGCAAAGCGTTTCTTATGATTTGCTCCATTTCGCTTTTGTTTGCGTGAAAAGAAAATATACTAGGCGGATATGCGGACAGAACCTGATGTATGCGCAATTCCTCCAGAGCTTTTTTAATAGCCGGTTTATTACCAATTTTTAATGACTTAATATCTGTGTCGATTGAGCGAATCAAACGCGATTCGATGAGCGCTCGCGAATGATTGCCTCCAAAGAAACGGACATCATACTTATTATTTGGCAGAAGACGTATAACTTTTGCAGGCCAATAGGAGAAACCACTATGCTTGGCAAAAACCAATTCATGGCGTTGAACGCATGGCTTAGCAAACCAAACACTTGAATGTTTTTCGTGTGAATGACGAAAACAGTCAGGACAACGACGGATTTCAGCCAAATCGTATCCTATGTCACGCACCAACCATTTCGAAGCCTCCATATCCGTACCATTAGCTAAGGATTAATTCAATTTTTACATGCAATCAACCAAAACATTTGTATGATTAGGAAACTCACGGCCAAAAAAGATGCCTATATTATGCTGCAAGTCGAGGATGTCCACAAAAAATTCAGTTAGCAGATTATACTGCAACGATTTAAGTTTAGCTGATATGCCGTCAAGACTCTTATCAGGGAATTTAAAGAGCAATTTCGAAACAATCGATATCAATTGGCTTGGTAATTTTGTCGATTCGAAATAGCTTAATACATCGTGTGCAACCTAAAAATAAATAAATTCAGTTATTCAAATTGTGTATCTTTTGGGTCGATTATGGAGAGCAATGCAATCTCACTTTGTTTGTCTGTGATCAACCATATTGAATTTAAAATATACATTTATTATGATTAGCGACTAAAGTTAAGTGCTCTGAAGTGGCAGGTAGGTTCTCTAAAAGCTTAAACAGACGGCAGCGTTGATCCGGATTAACTCAGACTTAATCCGGATCAACTGCAGTTAATTCCCGAATTGATCCGGATCAACGCCGCCGTCCGTTTATGCTTTTATTGTGTTCCAAGTGAGTCTCAACCCCATTAAATTCTAATTTTTCTAATTCTAAGTACTGGGCATGGCCCAGATTAAATATCGGGCCAATGAATGTCACTCCAGGGTTTTCTCCAAAAAGTTATGTTGTTGCAACAACGTTAGTGTAAACAAGTTGCGGAAAAGGTTTTCTCAAGTAACCTGTAACTTTAAAGCTCACTTTCTATTTAAAGGTTGCATTAAAATTTATGATTGCATCTAAAGGAAAGCATTTTATTATCGTTTTTAAATTGGTTTACAACCAAGAAACATACATACGTCAAAAACCGATAATCGAAAAGCTTAACTTTTTTTTAGCTTTATTTCTGATCCAACCTTTAAATATAAAGTGAGATTTAAAGCTAAAGGTTATTTCAGAATACGGCCCTTAGTGTATTAATAAACGAGAAAAAGAATCACCTACCCAAGAGCGATTCCGCTCAAATGTAAAATCTATCAGATAACATAGTTCGTCTGGTTGCATATTGGGTGGATGGCGCAGCTCTGCTGTTTTTAACAAACGACAGCATGTACACAAATCTAAATCAGGCTCTGTTTCTTCACTTGGGCACATTTCACTTTTATACGACACATTTGAGGTAATTGTCCGCCGACGTTTCCGCGTGGGTGGACGAACTTCGCCCAAACAAACCACTTCTACTTTGGTTTTGGACTCTGTATCAAACTCATCTACGTCCATTTTGTTGCCGCTATTTAAATTGGTTGCACTTGATACTCCCTCCGCTCGGTGAAAAACTGCTTGCACAGGCGATGATGTGCTGTCAACTGTAACTTCTTCAAGAAATCGTTGCTGCGGCCAACAATTTATTGAACTTAGATCCTGTTGTTGCAAGGAAGATGAAGCACGCACATCGCTCTCATAGCCAAAAGATGTAGATCCGTGTACAGTGCCTTCTGCATCAGAGTCAGTCTCTGTATCAGAGCTGAATGCTGGTGGACGATTCTTTTGAAATTTTCCGGAAGGTACTGGATAGTTGGGTCTTTCTGGATCTTTGCGAAAGCATAGACGATGAAATGAGCGTGGGCATTGACGGCAATGCGTCAATGAGCCAGGCAAGTGGCACTCAAAGCAATAGAAGTCATGGGAGACATCGTTCTGTAAAAAACACTGTGTGTATAACTAAGCCGTTTACTTCACCACTTAGGTTAAAAAGAGGTACCTTTATTTCGTCTATTTTCGGAAATCGCAGTAGGCGGAGAACACGCGATGACCCAGCGTTGTTTGCTATTGCCGGCTTCAGCAGCTTATCGTGTATGGCATTTTGCACAGTCTCCGAGGCTAACGCTAAAGTTTAAGAAATAAATTTGGGTCAAAATATTAATTAGGTATATATAAAATTTTTATATTACATTTCTCATAGTTTCCCACTTCTACAAGGGCTCGTACAAGCTCCTCCACTGTGGCAGAGCCCGAGCTGTCTGATCGCAGCGCCGACAAAAAGTACCGCAAGCAATTAGGTTGAGCTTTGCGAGACATTTCAAGTCGATTTGTTGTCCTCCATGAACTACTGTTTTTATTTATAGATTTACACACTATAATTAGTATTAAACTCGAGGTATTTTAGAAAATGCGATGCTTCCAAGATCAAAAAATTCGCAAAAAACGTCAAAATAAAAGGAAGAGTTGCACCGCAATTAGGAATGTTGCGATCCTACTGATATAATCTTGGTATCGATATTCTGTTTCGATACTGGGTAAATTGGTATTCGATACTAGGGTGACAGTACTATTGATACTCATATGGGTATTTTCTTTCGATACCGCGTAATGTATCATAATAATATCAATATAAATATCATCTTCATACAAGCCATATTGTTCCTAGAATACTATTTAAGTATATTTCCTGATTAGTGATTCTATGGGCTGGTTTCTCCAACTCAACTTAACTTAGTTTAGTCATTTTTTGGACTTAAGTCAGAAGTTAGCCTACGTTTTACACAGCTTATTCTTGACTAATAGGCTGTTTTTGCTTACGCGTAAAAGCACATTTAGCGCATTTAGCTCTAAATGCTACTCTAAATGTACATTTATCCATACAAAATTCGTCACCTAAATGCAACTAAATGCAACTCCATTTTTGCATTAAGAATCTAAATGCTAAAAGCAACCCTGTGATCTTCCAAAATTTCCACGATTCGAACATGGTTTAAAGAGAAAAGTGGCAACATTGCTTTTTCGAGTATACAGTTGCTAGCTACGTTTCAGTGAACGCCGATCGAGATTTCTTTTATTTTGCATTACATATTTGGATAAAGAATAGTTAAGCAAATTCAACATCGATTTGATGTTGATAGAAATCTGGATCAATTTGTGATCAACTCGGTTCGTTTTGTTTCCTAATTAAGTGAGAAAATTTTAATTGACAGCACCGACAAATGAATATATACACAAACAAATTTTCGGTTATGGTTAAAACAATTCAAGTTTTTGTATTGAATTTTTGGTTTAAAATTTATTTTTTCCTTTTCAGTAGGGTTTTTGCACATTATCTCCTGAGTGAGAATTGATCGTAATATATACCCATCTAAATAAGAGGCTGGAACACGGCTGTTTGTCAAAAGCATACGATTTCGAACTCGCGTAAATGTACATTTGCTAAATGCGATAGCATGAACGCTAAAATGCAAAATTTAGCACTTTCGAACATATGTTTTCGAAGAGCGTTCATGCTATCGCATTTAGCAAATGTACATTTACGCGAGTTCGAAATCGTATTGTGGCGAATACTGCGGCAACACAAAGCGAACAACGAGAAATAGGCAGAATGTTCGAGGAATGATGTAGAATGTTCCACAAAGAGAAACGTCAAGTCAAGCAAGATATAGAGAATGAGCGTTTTTACTGTATTAGCGAGTATTGTAAATTGTTTGTTGTACAATAAAGTTAATTGTACTACAATTTGGTCATCATTAGCATTTATTTAACAATCCAGCGATACGAGCCGGAGGATATTTGGGAAATCCCTCAAGATTTCAAGGATAATCGTAACAATCCCGAAGGATGAACTACTGAAAATGGCGAAAATTCAGGACTTAAAGATTGAGGAGCTGATACAGGAGTTGAAAAAGCGTAATTTGGCCACCTCCGGAAGAAAAGTGGAATTGTTATCCCGGTTGCGGGAGGCTATGGAAGCTGAAGGCATCGACGTGGACAAATACGACTTCCAGGGTAAACCCGACGATGCATCCGCAAAGGACGAACAGAAGGATGAAGCTGCTTGTCCGCCGAAGGATGTGCAGCAGACATCCGGGAAGGTTGAAGAACAGCAAAAGGCTCTAAGTCATCAACAGCTATANAGGATGTGCAGCAGATATCCGGGAAGGTTGAAGAACAGCAAAAGGCTCTTAGTTCATCAACAGCTATAGACATGAATACGTTATTGGCTGCTATGTCACAGATGTCGTCACAGATGTCATCACAGCTGTCGTCACAGATGTAAGCACAGGATACACGCATGTCACAGATGTCATCCCAGATGCAAGCGCTGGAGGCACGTATATCTTCAGAGGTATCAGCGCAGGTGTTATCCCAGTTAGAAACTCAGCTACTGACACAAGAGACACGTATATCATCCTAGCTGGAAGCACAGGATGCAAAAATTACACAAATACAGGACAAAATCGAAGGGAGACAGGAGAAAGTCGAGGCAAAGGTAGAGGAGTTGGAAGGCAGTCTTCGTGATTTACAGTTGAATCGTCCGGCTACTTCGACGAGCGCACCCAAGGTAAAGACTCCATCCTTTGACGGCACTATTCCTTTCCAGGTCTTTAAGCTCCAGTTCGAAAAGACTTCTACAGCAAATCGTTGGAGCATGGAGGATAAATCCGCTGCATTATTCGTCGCATTGAAAGGACCTGCAGCGGAAATCTTGCAGACTATTCCCGACTGTGCACGGAACAATTACGATGCATTAAAGGGTGCAGTGGAAAGACGTTATGGTAGCGAGCACAGGAGACAGATTAACCAGATGGAGCTGGAGAATCGCTGCCAGAAATCCAACGAGACTCTACAGGAATTCGCCTCCGAGGTTGAAAGGTTCGCTCATTTGGCAATTGGAGATGCATCTGGTGAGCACCTCGAAAGAGTAAAAATCCAGAGGTTCATCAACGGAATGCGGGACGTGTATACCAAGCGAGAGACGTACGCGAATCCAAAGCCAACATTTGCTGAAACTGTCTCGTATGCTCAGACGCGTGAAACGGCGGCGCTCCTAAGTAGACCAGCCTACAAAGCACATCGCGTGGAAGTGGAAACACCGGACGAGACAAATGAAATGCTGAAGAAGCTAATCCAACTGCTGGGCGAGAAAAAGCATTGCTCTGGCAAATGTTTTAAATGTGGAAAGACAGGCCACTTCGCCCGCGAGCGCGCAGCGCAAGTTCCAGTGGGCTCAACTATTCAGCAGGACGCAAACGCAAGGCTGAAGGAGACGAAACCAACTCCAATCAGTCGTTAAACTGAAACGAGCCAGCAGGAAGGGCCGCGTGCTGGCTCCAGAAGTTGAAGGGCCCATAATCTCCGTCTCACAAATAGGCCGGAAAGCATGCAGTGGATACTGGAGCGACACATTCCATTATTCGACCGGATTTGGCCACTTTTTATGTGAAGCCACTACCTGGAGCAAAGCTGCAGACTGCAACTGGTGAACGCACCCAAGTGTTAGGGGAAGTACCATGCGAGGTAATAATCGACGGTGTGGCCTCGTACACTAAGTTTATAGTGACAGACAGGCGCGCTTTTAAGTGTCATGAAAAAGGTGGTCGCGAAAGGCGAGCAGTTAAGCAGGAAGCCAAGGGTGAGATTATACATGTCCGGTCAATGAAGTTAGGATCGGCGGAAGAGCGAGATACGAAACGACGGCGGAAGCTTCAACGTAAGGATCCGGATGTAGCAAGATGTGCTAAAGGCAGTGCAGCACGAAGGCGGGAGTCTGGGTGTCATGGACAGATGATGCGGCATAGATCTGGCGAAAAAGGTGCCCACGAGAGGAGACATGGTCTGGTCACCACCAGTGGCCGGCGGAAGCACGACCATGTGAAATGGTGCACTCCCGGAGATAAGCCGGAAGCAATGTCCAGTAACGCATTGTGGTTGTACATGTCGCAGCAGAAGAAAAGCCTTACCTCCAAGCAAAGACTTGACTGGAAAGATCCGTTTGACAAACGGCTGAAAGACGCAGTGCATCGAATCCAACAATGGGGAGACCGAGGACCAAGATGAAAGTGGTCCACTTGGAAAGACTTGCAGCGATTGGAGCGGCAAGTGTGTCTGATCGGGACGATCAGACTTAGGTGGAGGGCAGTGTGGCGAATACTGCGGCAACACAAAGCGAACAACGAGAAATAGGCAGAATGTTCGAGGAATGATGTAGAATGTTCCACAAAGAGAAACGTCAAGTCAAGCAAGATAAAGAGAATGAGCGAATACTTCAGAATGTTCTAGAGTTGCCATAAGTGCCAGCGCAGGTATACAAGGGCGCCGCCACAGCGGAGTTGAGTTAGTTACGAGTTACAAGTCAGCAAGCTACAAGTAAAGTGAGCAGAGAAGTGAGTTGTGAATAAGCAAGCTATAAGTTTAATTGTGTTAACAAGTAGTAAAGCATTGTTATTGCTTTAACAAGTATTGTAAAGTGTTTTTACTGTATTAACGAGTATTGTAAATTGTTTGTTGTACAATAAAGTTAATTGTACTACAATTTGATCATCGATTGCATTTAGCTACTAGAATACATAGAGGCCTCCTCTCTCCCACGGAGATTCAAACGGTGGTAGGCGAATTATTTGAGTGGTCAACAGTAATGTTTATAGACAAATTGAGTAACCCCAGAAAAATAAAATAGGGGGTTCCACAGGGTAATGTCCTTTCCCCATTACCGTTCAACTTTGATATTTCTATGCTCCCTCAATCACCAGAAGGAGTCTCGGTTGTCTCTTACGCTGACAATTGCTCGATAACGGCATCTGGGACTGGAATTTATGACTTGTGCTCGAAATTAAACGGTTGCCTCTCCGAGCTTTCTCGCTTCTTCACTACTAGGCGCCTAAACCTCTCCCCTACAAAATCCTCAGTTACCCTGTTCACCACCTGGACGAAAGAGGTCAGACTGCAGCTGGGTATTCAAGTTGATGACATACCAATCCCGACGGTGAATAACCCGAAAATCCTCGGAGTAATATTGGACTTCTCCGCGCACACAGCCGCAAGTGTCAACTAAGTACAGATCCGCAACAAGGTCCTTAAGTCGCTAGCCGGCAGTACCTGGGGCAAAGACAAAGAAACATAGCTCGCAACATACAAGGAAATTGGCCTGCCGGTTCTAAACTACGCAGTACCAGTGTGGTCGCCGGGGACTAGTAGGACGCAGTGGATGAAGCTTCATACGACACAAAATACAGCACTCCGGACAGCGACCGGATGTCTTCTGATGGCGCCACAGCATCACCTGCCGTCCGAGGCGCAAATGCTCCCCATAAAGGAGCAAAACACAATGCTGTGCAAGCAATTCTTAGTAGGGAGCCACTTGCTTGCAGAGGAGCCCTCGCCAAGGCATGTCAGAAGGCATCTATACGAACTGTCGGACGAAGTCTAGAGGTTCATAAAGCAACCTCTGGACAGCATATCGACAGGCCTTGAGCGGCATTCACAGGGAGTCGGGCTCAAGCTACCTAGACTCCAGGCCTGTGAATGCCGTTCTGTACACATAACCACCTGACGTGGACGAGACGGAGCTGCGTCTGTCTCGGGAGACTCGGAACACAATATCCAAACTTCGCTTCGGCTACTGCAGCAGGCTGAACTCGTACCTGAGCAGACTAGATGCGGATGCCTCAATGAGTGTCCGGAATGCGGA